GTGGGCTGGACATAGAGACTCTTCTAACAAGTAGAATATGGCAGAAGCGATGGGCTGTCACTTCCGAGATTGGGTTACAAAGAGCCTGTGGCTTCTGACTTGGGCTCTCTGTCATCCCTATCTTCTTCCCCTTCCCTTCTCTTTCTTCATCAGCTGCCATGTCATAAGGACACTTGGACAGCATATGGAGAAGGCCACAGAGAGGAACTGAGGTCTCCTGCCATCAGCCACTCGACTGAGCTGGAAGTGGATTTTCCAACTCCAGTTAAGACTTGAGATGACTGTAGCCACAGCCACAGCTGACAGCTGACTGCACCTCAGGAGAGACCCTGAGCCTGAGGCACCCAGCTAAGTCGTGCCCGGACTCCTGACCCACAGAACCTGTGAGACAATAAAGGCTTATCGTTTTGGAGTAATTCGTTCTTCAGCAACAGATAGCCAATACAGAATGTCTTGTAATTGTATAACCAAAATGAGTTTGTAAGCTGAAATCTGACCTCATTTGTTTTCTTCTGAAAAAAGTTGTAGAAAAATCACAAGGCTTAAGTTCTGTCTCTCTCTTTTTGGGAATAAACAACTATAATTACAATTTAAACAGGATATTGTAGAGATCCATCATAGGGATTAACACTAATTAGAATTAAAGGATGTTTTTGTGAAAGTCAACTTTCTCTTTACAATAAACACTTGTCCCTTGATAATGTATTTCTTATAAACATGTTGTGTGTGTGTGTGTGTGTGTGTGTGTGAGAGAGAGAGAGAGAGAGAGACAGAGAGAGAGAGAGAGAAGCACTGTGTTTAATGCTTGACGAGGCTTTCATTATTGATGGAGGAATGGAGGGATAGGGGTATTTATATACATCTCCAAAATGGACTATAGGTTAAAATTAAGGACAAAAGAATTGTTTGCCCTTAACATTTACATATACCTTACAAAGTTTTAAAAATAATCTGGTTTGCTAATTTCAGGCTACAAGAATAAAAATTTGAACATAACTCTGAGTCTCCTTTTATGGGTGAAAAATCTCATTATGGCTCTAAATTTTAAATATTTAACAAGCAATTATCATAACAAATGGTTTCAGACAATTTTGGCTTTCCAAGAGATTGAAAGATGAAAATGCTCATTTCTCTTAATGGCAACAAAGCATTTCTTGTTATTATCACAAATATGATTAACACTGTGTGATGGATTTTTATAAATCATGTCATCTTAAAAATTAGATAAACATTACCATAATAAAGGAGGAAAATATTTTTATGGAGTAGTATTTCAAAAGACAAATAGTCAATTCAAAATGCAGTTTTTCCTTATGGTATTTTCATCTTCCCATCTTTGGAATGGTTCCTTTGCTTAGGGACTCCCAGGCACTTTCTCAGTACCAGTCAGTCAGTCAACTGGATTGAGTACCTACTGGATATGTTCACCAAGTAATGTAAGAGAAAAGCAAAACAAACAAACAAATAGGAGACAGGCTCCCCCAGGCTTAAAAAGTATATAAACAAGTTGAGAAGGTCAAATACGCACCTGAAATGGTTGAAGTATACTTTCACCGAGTAATGATATGTCCAAGCCAACGAGTGTGGATTACTATTGAATTTTGAAAAAATTATGCCTAATTATCCTGAGACATTAACCCATGCAAAATATAGTTCTTGACCATAATGTTTCTTTGTGTCTTTGTTCTTTCTGTTCCCTTTGCTTAGAATGCTGTTCCCTCCCATCTTCACCTGACGAAATTCTGCTTCTCACTTAAGGTCCAGTTCAAAGGCTCCCACTTCCATGAAGCCCAGGTGTACTCCCTCTTGGATTACCTGTGGCACTGGTCACTATGGCCCACCCAGGTCTCCTGACTAGAATTTCAGGAGTCATACTTCTCCTTCCATCTCTCTGATCACTTCTCTTCTGTCTCCTGTGATGACTGTTCTTCTCCTGCCCTTTTCTTACTGATGCCTTGAGAATTGATTGTTAAGAGAATTCTGATTCTGTGGTCCTAATTGCCTACACTCATGTGACCCCCCCATGGCTTTATTTCCAAGTAATTACCCCTTTCTTGAGCCCCAGCTCCATTTCTGAAGCTGATTCCTGGACATATCCACTTATATATCACTACCATCTCAAACTCAACATGTCCAAACTAGACTCATCTTTTCCTGTATCCTCTACCCTCATCCCAATTTCCTTACTCAAATCCAGAGCTTACCATGTCTTCTGAGCTTCTAGGGCTGTAAATGGTAATATCTTCTTGAGTCAGCCTCTTCTTTTTTCGCACACATCCAGTCAGATCAGAGTTTAGCTTAAGTTATGTCCTCCACGAAGCCCGTGTCCTCTGCTCTAGGGCCTGAAGCTTTCCATGCTTCAGTTTTGCCTGCAATACTCAATTTATCTCTGAATTATGAATGGGGCTTACGTAGACATTTAACTGTTTCTGGTAGGCTAAAATGAATGAAGTCCTGTTGTTCCTCACTTAAAATGGTTCTCATTTTCTCTTCCTACTCTTCAACTCCTTTCCCCATCTGCTCTCCTCATCTCTTCTCACTTAGGTTAGAGCAGTAACTCCCTAAGTGGACTCCCTTCAACACAGGGCACTTGTCTGCCCTGTCCCAGGACTTATGCGCACAAAGAATGCTCTTCTTCCTCTTCTCTGCTTAGCCAAGTCCTCCTTGTCTTCTAAGAGTGAGGTCATTCACTCTACCAAGAAACCTTCCTGGATCTTCCAATCCATGTGGAAGACTCTCTTCTCTGAGAGCAAGTGTTGACTATAGAGGGGAAAGTGGACTTTAGAGCTAGACAAACCTGTGTTGGAGTCCCACTGATATCATTTACTAACTGTACAACCTCCATTTCTCTGAGCCTTAGTTGCCTCATCTATAAAACAGGGAAAATCATTTTCACCTTGCAGAGCTGTTGTGAGCATTAAATGAGATCGTGCATATAATGTGTCTAGCACATGATAACTCCTTTTATTACCACGGAGGTCTTGAGTCTCTTCCAAGGCTGATACATTACATAACTCCAGGGGGCGTCTTTGTGAATACTGCCCCCTACAGTTGTAAAATGGTCAACTTGAACATAGTAGCTCAGATCTAATGTGTCTAGTGTTGATTGTTTTCTAAGTTGCTTGTATGTGTTTTGGTGTTGAATAATCTGCAAGCTTCTGAAGAGAGGATGGGGGAGGGACATGCTACCTCTCTTGTACATAGTCTCAAGACCCACTGCCCTAGCCTCATTGTTCACCTGCTCACCACCATCACCACCACCACTACCCCTGCCTCCATTGTATTGGGATAGACCACTTGTACTTTCTCTGATGACCTCAGCCCAAGTCTCATGTCTTTGCACAGGCCCATTCTCTGGGCTGGAGTAGGCTCTTATAGCTCTAGCTCTGTAGGCTTCTTTATTTGTCCCCTTCACATTGATTAGACGGTGTCAGTCTTGTTTCCCTGTTGTATCACCAGCATCTAACATAATGCCTGGCACATAGGACAAGCTCAGTAAATATCTGTTGCATTAATACACTGTTTTCAGGGATTATTACCAAGTGTTCCTCAAGAAGAGGCAGGGGATTTAAAAATAAACAGCTGTGTTTCTTTAACTATCATGACTGAATTTCTAATATGTACTCATCCACTGAAGTATACTTTGCCTTTATTAAATGTGCAAACATTGTACTAACATTGCTTATTTTTAAAAAACAAATTAATTTCTTTTTAATGACAAATGAAAATTGTATATATTTATGGTGTACAACAGGTTGTTTTGAAATAGTCTACTTCTTAATAGGTATGTGGCCTTGGGCAAGTTTCTTAATCACTCTGTCCTTTAGTTTCTTGTAAAATAGGTATTAGAAGAGTATTTTTCCAATAGGATATAGTGAGGATTAAATGAGATGCTTCTACTATCTGGAATGTTTTTTCCCTGGATCATCACAGGACTGGCTCTTTTGCATTCAAGACTCAGTTCAAATGACAAGTCCTGAGAGGCATTCCCTAATTACTCTGGCCACTTCTCCAGTTTCTCTCATATCACTTTGTTTTAAGTTCTCCATAGCATTTGTTGCTATCTTTTTTTTTTGAGATAGGGTCTTGCTCTGTTGCCCAGGCTAGAGTGCAGTGGCATCATCATAGCTCACTGTAACCTCAAACTCCTGGGCTCAAGTGATCCTCCTGCCTCAACCTCCCAAGTAGCTGGAACTACAGGCATGCGCCACCACACCTGGTTAATTTTTCTATTTTTTGTAGAGACAGGGTCTCACTCTTGCTCAGGCTGGTGTCAAACTCCTAACCTTGAGCAATCCTCCCGCCCTGGCCTCCCACAGTGCTGGGTTACAAGCGTGAGCCACTGCACCCAGCCTGTTGCTATCTGAATTTACCTTTGTTTACCTATTTATATGTTTATTAGCTGTGTCACCTCAATTTCCCTGAGTCCCTTTATAGTCACTGCCATATCCTCTGTGCCTAGAGCAGTGCCTGGCATCTAGTAGCATTCTGCAATAAATATCTGTTGACCAATTCACTTACTCTAACCCTTCCAAGCCTTTGAGAAAGCTAATGGACAGCCAAACTTTGGTGAAAATTTTCTGATCATATATGTTGAGGGAAAAAACTTTCAAAGTACTGTCAGTCTGTGACTAAAGTATAAGATGGAGCTCTTGACCCCAGGAGCATACCATCTAGTTGGTGGGATGTGACTTGAATGCTTCTTAGAACCACTGGTGGTTTATAAATCACTAGTGCAACCTATGCTTTCCATGGATGAAAAGTGATACAGTTGTAGATTAAATTGAGAAATTATGTAGCTGAGTACTAAGTGAAATGGGCATACAGATGGAGAGATTCCATTGGGGAAGGCTTTCTTGGAGGACCTTAAAGGGGAGAGAAATCATCCTAGAGAGAAGAGACCAGGCACTAATGTTTGCAAACCATTTAGAACAGTGCCTGGCCCACAGTAAAAACTATATATGTGTTTATTAAATAAAAATGCCCAATTGATATATTTATGCCATCAGAATTTTATTTTTTTCTTTAGAAAAGAATACAAAAATATAAAAAAAGCCTTATTCATGAAGTTGCCGTTGGGTTTCCCTTTCTCAAAAGCACTCATAAAAGGGCCACAAGAGCTCTTATTTGTCTGATATTTGCAAATACTATATTACTAACTCTAGAAACAGCATCTTCAGGAAACCCCAAACCTGGGGATCACATAGGACCAATCAGATCATCTGAGTGAAGACACCAATCCTCAGAAATATCAACAAAGTAAGATGGCTGCATAGAACGGGCCTCTTGTGCCTCTGCTTGTTGATGGGGAACTTGGGGATACGCTGCTTCATTGAATACATAAGGCGGACAATCGCAGTTGGGCCTTTGGCTGGGTGGTGACAAGCTGAACACCTTGTAGCATGTCTCATCATTCTGGGCTGGGGTCCCAGTCATGCTGGATACTCTCATGGAGCAGGGCATGGTGAGCCATGGGGACTTTTGAGGGGCAACACATGACACTGGGATCACATACTTGGATGATGTGCCCTTAGAGGCATAGTGCATTTCAGTGCTATAGATAACCACGTCCTGGGAGACAACCTTAGCCCTGATGCCACACTCGGTAACACGGTAGGTGAAATGGTAGACATGTGGCTGGACATGGGTGGCAGGGCAACCCAGGCCCAAGTGCAACTCATGAAAGTGTACATATACATCGTTGTTCAACATGAGGGGGTGTACTGTGACCATGAACCAGTCTATCGAGCACAGCACAGTCATTGGATTTTGTCCAGAACAGACGGAAAACACAGAGGCGAGGAGGACCATCCCTACTATCAGCTCGAAAACTTTCATCCCTGCAGCCAATCAGGTAACAAACCACAGGAAACAGGAAGCCGTCCAGTGAGGATTTCTAGAGCACACAAAAACACAAGAGGCAAGTCATCTTACTTTCTATCAAAAGTTCAAACATGATCTTTTTTTTTAAGCAAAAGGCTGTTCCTAAAGCATTAACAAAACAAAACATTTGTGTGAAAGAGAACTGAATTATAATACCATTGTTGGAACTCGTGTGTTTAGGGATGACTACAAGGGCTACTTTAAGCAACCTTACCATGCTGTTCTGGTATAAAACACATATCCCTCATATATAGAATGACAGTCAATACTGATCAGGAGTGGCACCCCTTTGTGTGTACCTCCATGACAAAACCAAAACATAACAGTTTTTGCGTCAAATATGTAACAAGGAGAGAGAGGATACAGTTTAATGGCAACGCTTCCTTCTTTAAGGGCTCCAGTGTCCTCACATAGATCATACTATTGAACCTTTCCCTATTACCTTTTTTCTTTGTTAGCAACAAATTTAATTAAATAAAAACATATAAAAAAATGCTCAACATCTCTAATCATTAGAGAAATGCAAATCAAAACCACAATGAGGTATCACCTAACCCCAGTGAGATTGGCCTCTATCAAAAAAACACAAAACAACAAATGTTGGCGAGGATGTGGAGAGACAGGAACACTTCTACACTGCTGGTGGGACTGTAAGTTAGTGCAGCCTCTGTGGAAAAGAATTTGGAGATACCTCAGAGAGCTAAAAATAGAAATACCATTCGATCCAGCAATAGCACTATTAGGCATCTACCCAAAAGAGCACAAAACATTCTACGATAAGGACATCTGCACCCGAATGTTTATGGCAGCACAATTCACTATTGCAAGAATGTGGAAACAACCCAAGTGCCCGTCAATCCATGAGTGGATTATCAAAATTTGGTATATGTTCACAATGGAATATTACTCAATCATAAGAAATGACAGTGATCTAGTACCTCTTACACTTTCCTGGATTAAACTTAAGCCCATTATCCAAAGTGGAGCACCACAAGAGCAGCAGAACGGGACCCATTTGTACTCACCATCAAATTGGTATTAACTAATCAACACATAAATGCACATATCAGAACAACATCTATTGGATGCTGGGGAAGGGGGAGGGTGGTGGGTGGAGGGGGGAGGAGGGAGGAGGGGACGGGTATTTATATACACAAGGAGTGCAATGCGCACTACCCGAAGGATGGACATATTTGAAACACGGACTTCAGTGGGGGGGGGGAACCAAGGGCAACATACGTAACCTAAACATATGTACACCCATAATTTGCTGAAATAAAAAAAAAATAAAATAAAAAAAAAAAACAACAAAAAAAAACCTAACAAGGAATCATGATTTGCTCCTAACAGCCAAATATTGAGATTTTGCCGAGTTGCTTGCTTACAATGATCAAATGAATGCTTCATTTGATCATTGTAATACTCCAGTAGTAGCACTGTAAGTCATTATGACCAATAGATTGCCTGATATATTTATCGAGACATCTTGTAAAATACTTAAGTTACAGAAACATAAAAACATGCTGGTTTTTAATTTTACATTTTTCAATGCATATTATACACGAAAACTACTTAAAATTCCTGTACAATGAAAGGGAGTATTAGGTTTGCACTTTACACATTGATTGACAAGATATCTACTAAAATCTTTGCTTTATATTCTCTTTCTATTTTCACAAGCTTTTTATTGCTTTTCTTTTTCAATAGGAAGCTCTGTGGCCACTTCCTAGTTCTATTACCTCCTAAAGAATGGTGGGCAGAGCAGTGAAGAGGAAAAAGCAATGCTAAGAATAAGTATCTAGAACATGTTGTCAGAAGGAGATGACAGATGAAGAAAGAAGCAAGAGCAACGTCATCAAATGTCCAACTCAGCTTCGTTTTAAAAGTGAAAAATGACATAAATCAAATAGTAAAGTGCCTAAAATTTGGAAGAAAGTGTACATGTGTGAGAGTTGGGATTCACTTTTGTTTCCTGCTAAGTAACGCCTGCATAAATTCATTCATTCTTTGACTAATATTTATTGAATGCCTACTATGTGTATAGCAGTAGGCCAAAAAACACTCGAAGATATTTCTTTCCTCCCCTTTTCCCCAGTTGCAAAAAATGCAGCTCTTTCTCTTCCTTTGATATTGATGAATTTGCTGCATACTTTAATGGAAATCATGGCATAGGATCCCACTAGAAAAGTGCGCTGGCCTGGATGAAATGTTTTGTTTCTAATTGGCACAGATTGGTCTCCCTATCTCTCACTCTCTCATTAATGACTCCTCATTCTCTCAGGGGTGTTGCGGTGTAAAAGAGAAGCCTAAGGGGTCTGTCAGGCTTCTTTCTTCCTTTTTGTTCACTCTGAAATGTCTCTCCTAAGACCACTATTTTTGTTTTCCACAAAGCAAAAATAAAAGTAGCAGCAACAAACAAACAAAAAAACTTCTATCCCCTTAAAACCCAGAACAAACAAAATAAAAAAACAACAACATAAACAAGTAAATTCTGATGTGAGCTGGTCCTGGATGACTCAACAGTTAATTAAACAAACAACTGGTTCCAGAATGATGTATGATATTTGCTGAGATAATCGCCCCATCGCTACTGCGCTATTGTCTCAGTCTTAGGAAGACCACCTTGTCCTAAGCATGCTTTAGGAGTGGCTTTCTCTCTCTCCTTCCTGTTCTCCTTCCTCTCTCTCCTTCTTTCCTTCTTTAACATCATCTCACAGCTTGGGCCTGCGTGCCCTGAATGAAAACCTCCTCTTTAAGTAGTTCCTGGAATAGGCCAAGGAAACAATCCTTCATTCCACTTTGTTGTTCAAACCCTAAAATCGAGACCCAAGTTTAAAGCTGTTCTTGTCCAGGGAGTTAAGCCAACCATTTCCTCTCCCTCCCTCAAGCATCTTTTCTATACTCCTCCCTCTTCCTTCTCTCTCTCATGGATAATTCAAATAGAGTTATAAAAAGTGTAGATTTTCTGAGAAATAAGACTGTTGTCCCCCAAGCAATCATTTCAGACTATCTCACCCCCAGCAACACGCACCCATCCACTTCTTGAATAACATTATACTGAATTCATCTCAAAGGAAGGGGTATCATTGAGTTTGGGGGTTCATTTAGTACAAATCTGCAGACTTGGACAGCACAGAATCTGTTTCCTCTGATTTTCTTAAAGCCAAGAACAGATTGCTGTGTGATGGGAACAATAAATGAAAATGCCTATGTGTGTGACAACATACGTTTGAGCTCAGATAAAGCTTGAAGGGGAAGTCAGTGGGACGCACGTTCAAGGCTGTGTGTCTCTGAGGTCCTCAAGAGGGAGGAGCTGGGAGATTAGGAGGACAGCAGAATGTACTCGCTAATGAGCTTGCTAATGCCTCGCTGGAGGCACACTTTGAGACTCTGTTTTGCTAAGTACAGGTCATCAAAACAAGCAGCCTCCCTCCCCCTGCTGCCTGCAATTCCCTGGGAAGGGTAGAGCGGTGTGTGGGGTGTGTGTGTGTGCGTGTGTGTGTGTGTGCGTGTGCACGTGTGTGTTGGGGGATGGTTATAAGTCATTCACAACACAGTGTAAATTCATCAAATCAGCTGGCTTTTCTAACAACTCGCTGAGATGTGCTGGCAGAATGGGATCCTGGACGAGGGAGGGAAGGAGAAGGCGGGCTCTGGTTATTGGGGGCAGAGACAGAAGAAGGCTGAGGGGCTAAAGATGGGAAGGAGATACCAGAAGAGAGGACTGTGTCCGGGTGCCAAACTGAAGGTATTTTTAGCCATAGTCGGGGCCATGCACAGTATCCCAGGAGCTGTGGGCAGAATTCTGTTTAAGAGTTTCTATTACTGAAATCTTCAGAGCTGAGGTGGAGCTGAGGACTAGGGAAGAAATAAATGCAAAGAAGGGAGTGCTCACCTTGGGACTACTGTCTAGCTTCTTGCTGAGGCGTCTGGGCTGAGAAAGAAAGCAGGTCCCAGGGTTTGCATTACCATAGCCCTATTTTGATTTGATTGCAAATTATTCTTCCCGCCTCTTGCAACATTCCAGGAGCAGTGAGCTTAGACGCATTTGTATAGCCAAACAGGGCTCAGTTATTGGTACATACCGTCCTGAACTGAGCTATAGAGAGGCCGAGCAAACCCAGAGTTGCTAATAACACCTGGATGCAAAATGTTTGCTTTCCTTGAAGCTACAGAGCACAAGTAGCTTTCTGTTTTTCTAAATGTGGTGTATGCATATACATTTCCCATTAGTTCCTTTAACAGAATTTTCATCCTTCCCTTTTTTCAAGAACTAACTAATAAACCTTAATAAATTCTTTACGTTTAAAAAAATCATGAAACTTTTTATTTTGGGAATATGAATTCTATTTCCTTTTGTCCCCTGTAATCATAGCTGCTCTTTTAATTAAGTTCAGAAGAATCCAAGTGCTTGTTTAAGAGATACCTATATCAGTCACTGAGAGTGATACAAACAGATTAGCAAAGCAAGACTGAGATCATGTAGTACTTTGTGAAACAAGACAGCCTACTTTTCTTCTTTTAGACAGGAAGAGAATGGATTGGCCCACACAAACAAAAAGAGGAAAGAGGAAAAAGAGTTGCCACTTAACTCACCATCATTAATTTTTTTGTGTGCTGAAATGTTGCTTACAAAGTTCAGCAGCTGATCTTTTTTTAAATTGACAAATACAAATTGTATATATTTATGGGTTACAATGTGATGTTATGATTTATGTATACATTGTGGAATGCTGGTTCAACATGTCCTGTCCATTACCTTACTTACTTGTAGAAGCAGAGAGTAGAGTCGTGGTTGGGGTCGTGCAGTGGACAGGGGAAAAGGGAAGATGTTAGTCAAAGCGTACAAAGTTTCAGTTAGACAGGAGGAAAAACTTCTAGTGATCTATTGCACAGCCCAGCGACTATAGTTAATAACATATTACATATTTCAAAATTGCTGAAAGAGTGTGTTTTCAGTGTTTTTACCATGAACTCTATTTCTTAAAGTCTTACAAGACATTGAATATTGGT